CAGGACAAACAAGAGTACATAAATATGAGGTGAACAGGGGGAGGGCTACAGGGTAGGGAGGGGAGGAGACTGGTTGGACATGGCAAATGGGGAATGAAACTAAATGTACATGTTATGTTGAATGTAAAACAAGCTCTTAAAATAAAAAAAATTTTTTTAAAAAAAAGACCTCTTTTAGTGTTCAAAGGCAAAGATGTCATTTTGAGGACTTAGGTGTACCTGACCCAAGCCATGGTATTTTCCAATTGCCTCATATGCATGTGAAAGCGGGACAATGAATAAGGAAGACTGAAGAATTGATGCGTTTGAATTATGGTGTTGGTGAAGAATACTGAATACCACGGACTGCCAGAAGAACAAACAAATCTGTCTTGGAAAAAGTAAAGCTAGAATGCTCCTTAGAAGCAAGAGTGGTGAGACTTTGTTTCTCGAACTTTGGTCATGTTATCAGGACAGATCATTCTTTGGAGAAAGAAATCATACTTGGTAAAATAGAGGGTCAGCAAAAAGGAGGAAGACCCTCAATGAGATGGGTAGACACATGGCTTCAACAATGGGCTCAAGCACAACAACAACTGGGTGGATGGTGCAGGACACCAGGCAGTCTTTTGTTCTGTTATACACAGCGTCGCTATGATCAAAGCCAGATCATCAGCACCTAGCAACAACATCACTTCCACTTATAAGAACTGGAAGATACAATTATTTACCCAGGAAGGAAATTTTCACCTGAAGGAAATTTTAGCAAGATGAGAGGGACAATGAATACCTTTGCAACTTAATACTGTGAGAACAACTTTTATAAAGTCAAGTAAACATTTCCTTGATCTAAAATAATAATCAGAAAAGAAGTACATCTAATTCATAACAGTAGAAATTAAAGACTGTAAGATATAAAACAAAAATAAAAAATTCCATTTTGATAAGTGACTCAGAAATACGAAACACTAAGTCCTCGGAAGGAAGGTTGGGCAATCCTACTTCCGTAGTGATACTGCCTCGGAAACCCAAGGAGGGGTCGCTATGAGTCGGGGCCGACTCGACGGCAAACAACAACAACAACAACAACAACAAGTCTGTTCTTAAAATACAGTTAATCAGGGAGGAAGTAGTAAGCATGCTTAAATATATATAATTCCCAACTTATACCTCAAAGAGGTATGTGAAATTCCTTAATTTTTAAACCTAACTGCTTAGAAGGTCTTGGTATGCCTCATAAAATAAGATGTAAATGTCATCATCCAAATACAAGATCATATCTCATTTTAAGAAACAAGTGATAACTTAAAATACTTAAACTTTGATAGTCACAAATTTATTGTTACATTAAATTTGGTGTCATCTACCACAAATTTAATAATGTAGTAAAGCAATGCTAAGTTTTCAAATTTTCAAAGTTTAGGAGAAAAATCATATATTTCTTTTAGAAGTTTCACAGAACTTTTACGTGATTAACATTAATTTAAGTGATTAACATTTACTCAAGAATAATTTTGGATATGTAGATTTTATTTGAAAAGTAACATTATATTTATCAGATTGCTTAAAAAAGTTTTTCAAATGTAGCATATATGGTGGGTCTAAATATCATATGATGACACCTCTGGAATATCACTTCAAATTCAGAAACTCAGTTTTGGAATATCTTGAGCTACATAACTTGGTTTTAAGATTGTACTGGCATTTGATCCTAGTTAAGAAATTACAGACCTTGGACCAAAAGCTTTCATGTTCAGATTCAAAGTGTCTATCAGTAATCTAATGGACGGCAAATACTACTGCCTTTAATATGTGAATGACAGTAGTTCATACAACCAAGGCTGTTATTATTACTTAATCATTTGCCTTATCACATACACAGAATATTGCTTAAAGAATTTACTTTTTACTTGTCTCACATCTACGAATTAAAATGACAAACCGGTGCTTCAAGTACATGTTCAAATTTTGACATTAACTTTCCCAATATTGTTATTGTTGTTGTTGCTGTTAGGTGCCATCACGTTGACTCTCTTAGCAACACTATGGACAACAGAATGAAACACTGCCCAGTTGTATGCCATACTCACAATCCTTGCTATACTTAGGCCCATCCTTGCAGCCACTATGTCAATCCATCTTTTTGAGGATTTTCCCCTTTTTCACTGACCCTCTTTATCAAGCATGGTATCCTTCTCCAGGGAATGGTCCTTTCTGACAACATGGCCAAAGTAGGTGAGACGAAGTCTGGCCATTCTCACTTCCGAGGAGCATTCTGGCTGTACTTCGTCCAGGACAGATTTGTTAAGATTTTTTGGCAGTCCATGGTATTTCCAGTACTCTTTGCCAATACCACAATTCAAAGGCATCCACTCTTCTTTGGTCTTCCTTATTCACTGTCCAGCTTTCACATGCATGTTGTTGTTGTTGTTGTTGTTGTTATGTGCCAATGAGTTGGACCCGACTCATAATACCGACCCCTCCCTGGATTTCCAAGGCGGCATCACTACGAAAGTAGATTGCCCAACCTTCCTTCCAAGAAGTGGCTGGTGGGTTTGAACTGCCAGCTTTCTGGTTAGCAGTCAAGTTCCTTATGCACTATGCTACCAGAGCTCCTTTCACATGCATGAGGCGACTGAAATTACTATGGCTTGGGTTAGGTGCACTTTAGTCTTCAAAGTGACATCTTTGCTTCTAAATGCTTTAAAGAGGTCTTTTGCAGCAGATATGACCACTGCAATACGACCTTTAATTTCTTGACTGTTGCCTCCATGGGTGTTGTTTATAGATACAAGGAAAATCCCTGATAACTTCAATCTTTTCTCCATTTATCATGATGTTGCTTACGGATCCAGTTGTGAGGATTTCTGTTTTCTTTATGTTGAGGAATAATCCATATTGAAAACTGTATTATTTGACCGTCATTAAATGCTTCAAGTCATCTTCATTTTCAGCAAGTAAGGTTGTGTCATCTGCGTATCACAGGTTGTTAACAAATCTTCTTCCAATCCCAATGTCATGTTCTTCTTCATATTGTCCAGCTTCTTGGATTATCTGCTCAGCATATAGATTGAACAAGCGTGGTGAAAGGATACAACTCTGATGTACACCCTTCTTGATTTTAAGCCATTTTATCCCCTTGTTCTGTTCATATGACAGCCTCTTAGTCTATGTACATGTTACTCATGAGCAGAATTAAGTGTTCTGGAATTCTCATTCTTAGCAATGTTACCCATAATTTATGATTCACACAGTCAAATGCCTTTGCAGAGTCAATAAAACACAGGTAAACATCTTTTTGGTATTCTCTGCTTTCAGCCAAGATCCATCTGACATCAGCAATGACATCACTCATTCCATGTCCTCTTCTGAATACAGCTTGATTTTCTGGAAGTTCCCTGTCAATATGTTGCTGCAACCATTTTTGAATTATCTTCAGCAAAATTTTACTTGTGTGTGATATTAATGATACTGTTAAGTAACTTCCACATTCTGTTGGCTTACCTTTCTTTGGAATGGGCACAAACATAGATCTTTGGCCAGGTAGCTGTCTTCCAAATTTCTTGGCATAAACGGTTAAGCACCTCCAGGCTGCATGTGTTTGTTGAAACATCTCAATGGATATTCTCTCAATTCCTAGAGCCTTGTTTTTCACCAATTCGTTCAGTACAGCTTGGACTTCTGCTTTCAATATCACTGGTTCTTATTCATATGCTACCTCCTAAAAGAGTTGAACATCAACCAATTCTTCTTGGTACACTGACCAGGTATTCCTTCCATCTACTTTTGATGCTTCCTGCATCATTCAATATTTTACCCACAGAATCTTTCAATACTGTAACTTGAGGCTCTTCTTCAGTTCTTTCAACTTGATAAATGTCCATTGTGTTCTTCCCTTTTGGTTTTCTAACTCCAGGTCTTTGCATATTTCACTCTCATACATTACTTTGTCTTCTTAAGCTGCCCTTTGAAATCTTCTGTTCAGCTCTTTTATCTCATCATGTATTCCACTTGTCATTTCTTCCATTTGCTTCACACACTCTCTATTCAAGAGTAAGTTTCAGAGTCCCTTATGAATCCATTTTGGTCTTTTCTTCCTTTCCTGACTTTTGAATGATTGTTTGCTTTCTTCATGTAAGATCTTCTTGATGTCATCCCACAACTTGTCTGTGTTTCAGTCACTCATGCACAATGCATGAAATCTATTCTTTAGATGGTCTCTAAATTGATGTAGGATATAATCAGGGTCATATCTTGGCTCTATTGGTGGCGTAACGCCTTAGGCATGTGACTGCTAACTAGAATGTTGGTGGTTCAAACCCACCAGCCACTCCACAGAAGGAAAACTGGGCAATCTACTTCTGGCCTTGTTTTGATTGGCAATATCGAGCTTCTCCATCACCTCTTTCTATACATGTAGTAGATCTAATTTCTGTGTATTCCATTTGGTGAGGTATACTTACCCACCATTTATGTTGCCAGAAAAGGCATTTGCAATGAATAAGTCGTTGGTCTTGCAAAATTCTATCATGTGATCTGCAGTGTCATTTCTATCACCAAGGCCATATTTTCCAACTACTCATGATTCTTCTTTGTTTCCAACTTTCACATTCTAATCACCAGTAGTCATCAATACATTCTGATTGCATGTTTGGTCAATTTCAGACTGCAAAAATTGGTAAAAATCTTCAATTTCTTCATCTTTGGCTTTAGTGGTTTGTGAGTAAATTTGAATAGTGGTAGTAGTACATTTGACAGATGTATAGATATTATCCTATCACTGACAGCATTGTACTTCAGGATAGAGCCTGAAACATCCTTTGTGATGATGAATGCAACACCATTCTTCTTTGTCATTCTCGACATAGTAGATTATGTGATTGTCTGATTCAAAATGGCCAAAACCAGTCCATTTCAACTCACTAATCCCTAGAATATCTATCTTTATTTGTTTCATTACATTTTTGGCAACTTCCAATTTTCCTAGATTCATACTCTGTACATTTCACATTCTGATTATTAATCAATGTTTGCAGTGGTTTTTTCCCATTTTGAGTGCTGCCTCATCAGTGAATGAAGGTCCCGAAAGCTTTAATCCATCGACGTCATTAATGTCAATTCTACCTTGAGGAGGCAACTCTTCCATCATTGTATTTTGAGTGCCTTTGAGGGGTTCACATTCCAGCATTATATCAGACAATGTTTCATGGCTCTTAATAAAGATTTTAAGTAATAGACAGGTTTTCACTGGCCAATTTTTTTTTTTTTCCCCCCAGAAGTGGATGGCTCCACCCTTTTTCTCAGTCTGTTTTAGTACGGAAGCTCTTCTGAAACCTCTCCATCATAGGTGACCCTGCTGGTATCTGAATTATGTGTGGAATAGCCTCCAGCCTCACAGCAACACACAAGCCACCATAATAAGACAAACTGACAGGTGAGTGGTGGATTTAAATAAATAGTTATGTAGCAATTTTATTTTTAGGGCCAAAATAAAGCTTTATCACTCCTTTATATAACCTTTATATTACCACATTATAAATGCCTGCTTATTTAGAATGAGATGAGTATCATTAAAAAAAAAAAAAAAAAGTTTCCTTTACATGGCTAGTGGAAAAATAGTATGAATATTTAAAATTTTAATAATAGCCACATGTATTATTGATTCACTTTTGCGTTCTAACAAAGTAAAACAAAGTTCTACAAATGGTAATATGTTAAGAAAAATATGTAAAAGGATACCTCTGGATGTTTATTTCTATTTGCAACCTCGCTTGGTGTCTTTCCATCTTTGGTCTGTAGCATTTTATTAGCTCCAAGTTCAAGCAACTTCAAAACAACATTTTTATGACCCTGACGTGCTGCCCAAGTTAAAGCCTGCAATTGGGGGTAAAATACTGTTTAAAAAGAGGGAGTGTGTATGATACAGAGAAGAAAAGTTTTCAACTGTATTTGTGGCACAAAATAAAAGTAAACATCAATGGAATGATGCAATCTTTTCACTTTACAATATAATGTAAACATATTTCCAAAGTTTAATTGCAAAGCAGCCTGCCCAGTGCTGATTTTATAAAAGCAAATAATGTTTTATGCAGTCAAGTGAAGTTATCCTAATTGTTGGGTGTTTTCTACAAAAAAGATTTCTTAATTCCTGGGCATTCTATATAGCTGAGGCTTTATATTTATAGTTACAGCTTCTTTGGTCAGCAATGAGTACCAAGGGAGTCATTTAATTCTTTTCTCCTATTTCAGCATTGTTGTTCTTCACCAAAGAGCAAGTCTATCCCAATGTTTATATAGTTACTACTACTTAAAACTCATTTTGTGGACTACTGATATCTATATCTCAGAAATATAAAAGGAACACAGTAAAAGTGACTCTCACAGTATAACCATTCTCGTCCTGAGTATTAACTTCTGCTCCATGAGCAACAAGAAGAGCAATAACCTGTGGGTGACCCTCTCGTGCAGCATACATGAGGGGAGTCATAAGTCTCCTATGGAGGAAGAAAAAAAGAAACATTTATGTTAATGTTGCCATTAATGGCTACTCAATCTCATTAACTGAATCATACTCATTATCATCAGTATTATTTTGACAGCAATGAAAAGGAACTGAAAGCTTAGAATAAATCAGATGAATCAAAAATCCAGTCTCCCAGCACTTAGGCAAAAGTAAGAAGACACTTTAAAGTACTGAATGCTTACACAGCACCCTCTAGTGAAGAAATGTGTAAAATAAAAAAAAAAATCACTAAATAAGCCATGTTTTCATATGAAGTTTCATTAATTTACATATTCATCTAGAAAAACATCAGAGTACCAAGCTATATGATCATGCCAAGAATATGAGTGACATATATAAGGTCCCTACTCTAACAGGATTTGCTCATAAAGTGCTTACTACATTACACTTGATTTAGTGTCTCTAAAATCAAAATAAATAAATAAATAAAAGTAAATGAAAAACATTCTTGTTTCTTAGTATAGTCTATTGTGATTCTACTTTAGTTTGGGACTGGGAAATTTTACCCTGAGTAGGAGTCTGCCCCTCAGTGAAGAAACAGATCAATCTAACAGTTTAACTAGTCTAACAATCTTACGACGTCTCTGAGGGCATTTTCTAGAAGAGCACAGTGATTTCTCTCTAGTGTATTCTTTTTTGTAATTGGAGATTCAATCCCTCTACTCCTGAAAGTTTCTCAGCTTCTGGACAGGACCTACTACAAATGCAGTAGGCTATGTTCTCTAAGGAGCAAAACCAGTGAGTGTGAGAGACAGAAAGACAGAGCAACAGACAGAGGAAGAGCCAAATAGACAGAAAAAAGTGAACGATTTCAAGGATATAGCTCATATATTTGCGGAGGCTGGCAAGTCCCAAACCCTTGGATCAGGTGGCAGGCTAGATAGAGGCTTTTCTTAACTCACATGGCTGCAGGAGCTGACGAACCCCAAAGCTTATGTGGCTGTGGGAGCTGGAGAATCCCAAAACTGGCAGGTTAAATGGCAGGCTGCTGGCTCACATCCCAAGACCAGAAGTCAGAAGATAATTAGTTAGATACAGAATCAAGGGAGGACAAGCTTTGCCAGAACATCCATATACAGTGGATGCATGCCACACCCCCAAGGAAACGCCCATTTCGATGGACTGACTGGTCATGTCAGATCACTAACATGGAGGATGATTACATAGTATCTGCCTAACCATTGAGAATCATGGCCTACCTAAGTTGACACATAATCTTAATCAGCACAGTGAAGAATTCCACAAAGATTCTATCAGTTCTATTGGGGCTTATCTTGGTCTGTTTTAAAGGACATCTGGGATTCTGGGCCTAATCCTCCTGAGTCATCCTCATTATTTGACTAATAGACAAGGAACTTCAGAAAAGAACACATTATTTTAAAATTCTGTGTTTTTATCTCACTAAGGAAGTATATATTAGTTATCCACATTGTAACACCATCTATAAATAGACTATTTCTCTATAAGGTTTGTTAACATAAGGTATATCCTGTATCTGATCACTTCACACTAATGTTTTAGCACAAGAATATTCAAACAATTATCTTTTTCTTCTATTTCCTAGTATATTAAATTTCTTTATTTTGTTGGTGGTGTTGAGTATACAGCAAGACATAAACCAATCCAACCAATGCTACATGTACAATTCAGTGACACTGATTATCTCCTAGTATATAACAATTCCAATATTGGATTTGAAATATGTTAAGGTAGCTGTATTTTCTCTTGTACCTTGAATAATTAATACATAGTGGGATTATGAGATAAACAATCTTTTCAAGGTAAAGAATGGATACCCTGGATAATACAAGCAAATACATAAAACATATACAAAAGAAAAAAATATCTAAGTAATCATCCAGATAGTTAACATTTTAATCAATTCATGATGTCTCTCCTCTATCCCACTCTTCTCACATCTACTCCCAATCTTCCCTATTTGATAAGTCACCAATCCGCCATACTGCTCAGGCCTAAGCATCAGCCACTCCACAGGAGAAAGATGAGGCAGTCTGCGTCCATAAAGATTTATAGCCTTGGAAACCTTATGAGGCAGTTCTATTCTTTTCTATAGAGTCGCTATGAGTTGAACTGACTTGATGTCAGTAGATTTGGTTTTTGGGTTTTAAGCAGCATTCATGATTATTCTCAATCTCTCTCCATGTACAAGCCATCAGCAGGTTCTACTGACTCTACCTTTATAATAATATTCTTAATTTGACCACTTTTCATCACCTCCTCAGTCAATGAAGTAGTCAAAGCCATCACTATCTTTCTCTTGACTTACATTATTATAACTGTCTTCCTGCTTCCATTCTTTGTCCCTTATAGTTAACTCTTCTTGTAAACACCAAATTCTTCTCCTCTTAGGGACTGTGCAAGTGCTAGTCCCCTCACCTTTCCTCAGACTTTTATATCACTCATTCTTTCATTTTATTCAGATCCCTAGTAATAGGAGAAGATCAATAAAATTGATAAATCTCTAGCCATACTAATTGGGACAAAAAGAGAAAAGACACAAATTATTTGTATCAGGGTAAGAAAAGTGACATTAGTACAGTCTCCAGATTATAAAAACTATAAGGGAAAGTTGTGATCAAATTTATGCAAATAAATTCAATAACTAAAAGAAACAGGTAAATTTCATGAAGACACACTACCAAAGCTCGCTCAGGAAGAAATAAATAACCTGAATAGCCTTATATTTATTAAAGAAATTGACTGAGCAACTAAAAAACTTTCCACTAACAAAACAACAGGCCCAGATGGCTTCACTGGTGAATTGTACAAGAAAAAAGAATACCAATTTTACACAAACTCTTCCAGAAAACTGGAAAGGATGAAATGATTTCCAAAATCATTCGCCGAGGGCAGAATTACTCTAATAACAAAACCAGAGAAAGATGTAAAAAACAAAAAAAAAAGGGGGAGAACCTACAGATCAATAATGTTCAATGAATACAAGTGCAAAAATTCTGAAAAAAACTTTAGCCAATAGAATCCAACAATATACAATACGATAATACATATGACTAACTGCAGTGATTTTTGGAATGCAAGGTTGGTTTTACTTTTACAAATCATTCAATATAAAGTAACATATTAACATGCTAAAAAAGAAAACCCATATGATTTTCTTAATAGATACAGAACAAGTATTTAACAAAATCCAACATCAACTTTAAATATAAAACAAACAACTTTCAGTAATGTAGAAATATAAAGGAGCTTCCTCAATTTGACAAAGGATATCTATGAAAAACTTACAGCTAATATCATCTTTAAGGGTAAAATACTGAATGTTTTCCACCTAAAAGGGGGACAAGGATGTATGCTCTCATGACTTCTATTCAACATTATACTAGAAGTTATAGCAAGTGCAATAAAACAAAGGAAAAGAAACAAATAAAACATAAGACGTATCCAGATGGAAAGAAAGGTAAATCTGTCTTTATTTGCAAAGGGCATGTTCTATGTAGAAAACCTGATGCAATCTACAAAAAAAGGTCTAAAACTTATACATGAATTTAGGAAGGTTACAAGATATAAGAATAATCAGAAATGGAAACTGATAAAATAATATCATTTATAACAGTATCAAAAATGGAAAATGGAAAACCTGTTATTTATTAAAAATGCAACCTATATTAGCATATACACACACATTCATGTATCTGTACGTGTATGATTGTTAGCCCACTAACAATTTGGATCCTGAAGTCTCTAGCCCAAATATAGGTCAACAGGTATTGGTTACAAGAAGAAATACTGTATAATGGATAAATTAATGTGAATGAGAATATATGATTTTAAATCTTAGCCTACTACTTACTAGCTCTGACACTGAACAAATTACTGTTCATGCTCAGTTTCCCCACCTATAAATTGAAGATGATAATAATAATAGTACATACCTTCAAGGAAGTGTTATGGATTAAAGGATCTAATACATGTGAAATGCTTGGGACACAAGTGTTATTACTTATTTCTTTCAAAAATTTATTGAGCACTTATATGTGCCACATATTATATGAAGTATTGGAGATACTGAAATATACAAAACCAGTCTGTGTGCTCCAACGGAGCCTGGGTGCCCTGCCCTGCCCAGATTTTTTCTCCTTTTTGTTCAGTTTCTTTTTGTCTATTTTAAAATTAGTTATTATTTTGTACTTTTTATTATTATTCTTTATTCTTCCTTTCCCAAGTCTAGTTTCCAGCTTTTTCTCTCTTACCTATTCCTGGTTCCCATTTTTTTTCTTTCTCATGGTTCTCCCCATTCCTTATTTCTCTTTTTGCATTTTTCCCATTTTTTTCTTCATTATTCTCCTACCCTACCTTTTTTTCTTATTGCCCTCTCCCTAGATACTGTGGGTTTGTTTTTTTCTTTTTTCTGTGATTGCTCCTGTATGTTTATGTGATGTGTGTTTTGTCCACATGCTTTTACTTTTTTGATGGTTTTTAGAGTATTGTTTTTGTCTGAGTGGGAGACAGCAACCGTGCCCATATGACACAACCACACCTGAACCTCCTGCACTTATTGAGTGAGAGCCACCACTTCTTTCTCCACCAACTGGCCAATGATAAACAACCACCAAGAAGAGCCTGACTCATTCTTAACTGATCTTCACAAACAATTAATAGAGATCTAAATACAACAATGTCACAAGGTCTCAGAGACAACATATAATCCCAGTCCATACAAAAAAATGCAAGATAAAGTGGTAGAAACAAGGGAGCAGGATACAGACCCAGAACACATCCCTAAGAAAGAAGCAGCATTGGAACGCCCTGAGAAGAAATGCAAAATAATTATATTTAGGTA